GGACAGACTAGCATACTTCAATCAGAGTTTAATGACTATTTTTGAAATAATATAACAAAAGTGAAAAAGTGAAAGTATAAAATCTATCTTAATATAATAACAAAATGTTTTTTGGGCAAGAAGTTCCAGCCAAAACAGGTGGATTAGGCAAGGCTCTGATACCATTTGTCACGGGCATAGAGTCTGACGCATCGCACAGTACCCGTACGACGTCCTGGGTATTGGCAATAAATAATAACATTATTTATTCATGTACAAATTATATTGTTACGTGTAACATATTTATTCAATGTAAACTTTAGCTCCTAGGCAGTAGCTAGTCCGTAGCTTACTCCCCAATATTAGCTAGGTAGTTATGTGAAGCTCTATCATGTTAAGGTGTATATAATACACTCGTACAGCTTGTAATCATTACGAGAGTTATCAATTCAATTCTACTCTATCATGGTATCAGAGCCTACGATCTGATTCCCCATTTTTTTTCGAAGTTCTCTCCCAGCCATCACCACCATGTCTTCTCCTCAGGATGTTGACACCACATCTGATCAAACCTCTAATGATATTCGAATTCCAAATACCTCTGAACCTCACAAGCCCCTCATCTCTGTGAATCTCGGGAATATAATTAAACTATCTCCCACTAATTACATCTCCTGGCAATTACAAATCCGCTCCATTCTCACAGGTTATAATCTTGAAGGATACCTTGACGGCTCCCACCCGTGCCCACCTGCTACTATTATTGTTGATGCTGCTCGTGCTCCAAATCCGGCGCATACTTCATGGGTACGTCAGGATAAACTCCTATTTGGAGCTCTTATCGGTACACTCACCTCCCCGGTGGTTTCTCTCAACACACGTGCCAACACCACCCAGGATGCTTGGAACACTCTCTCTTCTGTTTATGCTCAACCTTCCCGTGGGCATATCAAGCAACTGAAATCTCAACTAAAAAAATACACCAAAGGTTCCAAGACTATTACTGAATACATGCACTTCATCAAAACTGCTGCCGACGAATTGGCTCTTTTGGGCAATGATAAGTCCATTTTTGTACTTATTTTTCTTATCAAATTTAAGCGATTTTTGAATGAAAATAGAAAGAAAAGACACATTTTATATATTTTGGTTCAAGTTTCATGAAATCAGGTAAAAATCACATCCATAATATGTTTAGCGGGATTTCGGGTCAATTGAGCACAAAATGAGTCAATTTGAGTGACAAATGCATTTATACCGGAAGAAGCAAGCATTTTATCAAGGTGATTCAGAAGACAAAGTTGAAGAGCAAGAAAAGCCGCATCTGCCAGACAAAAGTGGCCGAAGGCGCCCAAATAGGCGCCCAAAATGGAGGCCTTCGTGGCCGCCTACGGGAAAATTCAGAAGTCAACCTCGCTTTGACTCGGGACCAGGAAAAGACCGAAGGCTGCCGACACTGGACAGAAGGCGGCCGCCTACGGTGGCCGCCTGCGGCACAAGGGGACGAAACCAACCACCGATCGGCCAGACAAGACGGCAGGCGGCCATACAGGACGGCAGGCGGCCGCCTGCTGGACCGCCTGCGGCGGCTGGGGTCCGCCGGGATCCGATCTGCCAACGAAAAGATGGCAGGCGGCCATTTTTGACAGAAGGCGGCCGCCCTCTGTGGCCGCCTACGGCTGACGGGACCGCCACCGACGGTCTGCCGGCGACAGGACGGCAGGCGGCCAGAGGCTGCCGGAAGGCGGCCGCCTGCCCGGGCGCCTACGGGAATTTTTCGGCTATAAAATCCAGGCTTTTTCCTCAACTCAAATACACCAATTTCAAGCCCAAATCAGATCAAAAAGGGCATCTTCTTCCTCCTCAAAGCTCGGATTTCCACCATTGTTGCACCTTCAACTTCAATCTTTCATATCTTTCTCATTTTAGCTCCAAATTGTGAGTTCTTTATATGTATTTTCATCCTTTAAATGTGTAGAATCTGAATCTGTACTTTGTTTGTTCTATCTGTGCTTCAAAAATTCCCAGAAAATTATTACATTATTTCGCATTTTCTTCTTAATTTTGAATAAAATAGTTATTGTTGTTGAATTCGTTCCAATTAATTATATAGTTGTTTACTAGCCTCAAGGTAGTTATTTGTCTGAAGAAATTAAATACTCAAAAAGGTAATTTTTAATTACTAGCAGAGGTAATTTTTAATTACTAGCAGAGGTTATTTGTTGAATTCGTTCCAATTAAATACTAGCAGAGGTAATTTTTAATTAATTCCGGCATTTAGTTGTTATTATTGCATAAATTAAATTAAATACTCAAAAAGGTAAAAAAAAATTAGTTTCTGTCCTAACTCCAGTTTAATTCACATTAATATCACTCCCAGTAGTCAATATAAAATTTATAACGAATTTAGAATAATTTTAGTTGCTTTTTGCATTTTTTAGTTAAAATTGGGAAAATTATCAATTAGTTGTTAAAATTGGATTTTAGGTTCAAAAATTCGTGAAAAATTCCAGAAAGTTATACTTTAATTTCTACAAGTTTATTGTTCCATAATATAATTTTTGCTATCATCCATGTTTAATTCCTTGTTAATGTTGAATATATTCATTATATTGTTAATTGTTAAAATGATCTTTATTAGCTAAATTTGTTTTGGGCATGAATTGACTAAAGGAATATGGATTGACTTGTTGACCAAAAAATAGGGATTAAAATTAATAATTTGGACTAGTTGTTTGAAATGATGAAATAGTAATTAATAATTGTTAGCCATATTCATTAATTAAATTCTTGGAAAATTATCTCTAACTTGTCTATGAGATTAGAAAATAATTTAAGCCAACCATATTCGAGCACATTAATAAGGCCTAGAAATAGGATAATTTAATGAAAGGGATTTGCATCTTGTCTATGAGAGATAAATTCAATTGCTTAAATAATGAGTTTAACTAGTTAATGAATTTGGCTATTTTTATTAATTAAAATATTGGAGAATTATTTCTACCTTGTCTATGAGGTTAGAATTTAATTCAAGCCAACCATTTTTAACACATTAATGACACCTAGAAATAGGATAAATTAATGAAAATAGTTTCTATTCTTGTCTATGAGGAATGAAATTATTAGTCCAATTTTAGTTTTAATTTCCCTAATTACTAGGTCCAAGAATATATCCATTTCTAATTACTCGATTCATTGCCCTTATTTGCATCAATCCATTTAAGTTTAATATTATATTTTTTTCCTTTAGTTTATTTTTGAGCCATCATTAGTATTTGCACAATTTAATTTACTTTCTTTTCCAAAAAGTAGTTTAGAAAATCAATCAAAAGTTTTAATTTGGAAAGCTTCCAATAATTTGCGATAACCTGTGACTGGACTTAAAATCAAGAAGCTCCTCCGCCATTCCTCGAGAGACACGATACTCGGGGAAAAACCGAAAGGTTAGACTCCGTTTTACTACAACGCCGCGAAAGCGGTTATCAAATGGCGCCGTTGCCGGGGACTGGCACGGTGATTTCTTGATTTTGATTTTAGCATGGGCGAATTCAAGTTAGGGAGACTTTCTTTTTCTTTTTTTTGTTCTCACGTGTTTGCTTGAGATTTTCTCATGGATTACTCAAGTGAACACTTTAATTCTCAACCACCATATCACTATCCATACTATGAACAACAATCTTTTCAAAATAATCAAAATGAAGGATACTATGGACAAGGTTATGAGGATAACAATCAATGGTGCGAAAATCCACCTTTGGGGTATGGAGATTACCAATTTCAAGATAATTATTTCCACCAAGGGCAAGACTTTGAAGGCTGTGATGATTTCTCCTATCAAGGTAATTATCATGATGATTTTAATTATCATGAAAATTACCAAGAAAGGCTAGAAAATCATTACACCAGCACAAACGAGTACTCCTACGAGGGTGACTCTGGAATTTCACCTTATCCTCAACACGAACTCGAAGAGTTAAAATCGTCCTTACTTGATTTTGTGGAAGACTTAAGAAAGACAAGGATTGAACTAGCATCTCATGATGAGAGTATCAAGGAATTGTTTGAAAAAATCATTTATGACAATGACCACAAGGTTCAACAGGAGACATACGAGGAGGGTGCTAAATCTAAGGAGGAGGTTGCGGTAACCATGGGTGAGATGGTTGAAACTCTTCTCACCCCTATTTCTTTCGAGCCTCTCATTGCTACTGAGAGAGAGCCTATCCTCGTAGAACTTAGTTCTCAAGAGCCCCATATGAAAGTGCCCAATGAGGTTGATGAAGAAATCATAGATGATGAGATACTTTGTGATGAGGAACCTACCCTACCATCTATGGATGACCTCTCATTTAAAAAGTCCCTGAAGGATAGCCTTGATGATGATTTTGATCCTACACAAACCCAAGCGCCTGTTGAAATAGTTGATGAAACTTGTGATGTGGAGGAAACAATGCCCGATGATGCCTTCTTTGATTCTCTACTTAATGATGATGAGCATAATTGTGCTAGGCAAGGACTTGTTTGCCTAGATGATATTTGTGGGAGTAGTGAGCGAAGTTGGGATGGATTTTTAGAGAGTGACACGGAGTTTGAATTTTGTGTTGTAAATGTCGAGGCCATAGTTGAAGAAGAAGAAACCCAAAAGGAGGAGCCTACTCGTAATGTTCTTACCATGGTGGTCCCACTTGAGCGATTTCAGGCACCTGAGGCCCCTGATCCTGAAATACTTGTTGATTATACTAATGAGAGTGATGCAGGATATGTGCTAATTTCTTGTTCGAACGATGTGTTCTTTGAAGATTATATCACATTTTGGTGGCCACGAGAGTTTGAGGGTCTACGCCATCTGACGGCATACCTGGAGGATAAGGTGGAAGCACTAATGATGAGTGCCCCACAATTGACATGCATAGCTGAGAGTTCTCTCTCAAACGTCAAGCTAGTGACGTTAAAGAAGCGCTTCTTGGGAGGCAACCCATGTTTTTCATAACATTGTTTGTTTGTTTTGTGTGTTTGCAGGGTGTGCTTCAATGTTGATGAAATAAGAGTTTGGCTTAGGCCTTACGGGAGGACACGAGTGATGCTTAGTTTTCTTCCTTAACATTTTATTGTGTTTGTTTGTTTATTCAGGTTGGACATTGTGCCGCTCTTTTGACTTAATTGCTCTTACAAACTGACTATGAATGATGTAATGATTTTTATTCCTGTTTCATTATTCCTCTTCACAAAATCTTTTCAAAACTCAAGTGTGAGGAAAGAACCAAAAAAAAAAAATGTGCCTTTATTTCCCAATTTTGTGCCTCAAAAGAAGACCTCGAGGGCGAGGTCCAGCTCAAGTGTGAGGAGGTTGCGTTTTACACTCAAAAGTCAAAACCTTGTTTTAGAACAATCTTTTTACTATTTTTGATATGAAACATTAATTTCTCAATTTGTTATCTGATAAGTCCATTTTTGTACTTATTTTTCTTATCAAATTTAAGCGATTTTTGATTGAAAATAGAAAGAAAAGGCATGTTTTAGATATTTTGGTTCAAATTTTATGAAATCAGGTGAAAACCACATTCATCGTATGTTTGTCGGAATTTCGGGTCAATTGAGCACAAAATGAGCCAATTCGAGCAACAAATGATATCATACCGAAAGAAGGAGACATTATTTCAAGGTGGTCCAGAAGACAATATTGAAGAGCACAAAATAAGGAACAAGCCGGACAAATAATCTCAAAGGCGGCCGTGCAGGCGGCCACAATGAAGGCCTTCGCGGCCGCCTACGGTATTTTTGGAAAGTCAAACCTTGACTTTGACCGGATTCGGAAAAGACCGTAGGCCGCCGACACTGGACGGAAGGCGGCCGCCTACGGTGACCGCCTGCGGCAGAAGACGACGAAGCAACCACCGGCCGGTGGGATTTGACGGCAGGCGGCCAGACAGGAACGGCAGGCGGCCGCCTGCTGGACCGCCTGCGGCGGCCGGGATCCGCCGGGATCCGCCGCGATCCGATTTGACCGTGAAACGACGGCAGGCGGCCAATTTTGGTGGAAGGCGGCCGCCCTCTGTGGCCGCCTACGGCTGACGGAGACCAGCCCACGCGAAGTTGCCGGCGATTCGACGGCAGGCGGCCAGTTGCTGCCGGAAGGCGGCCGCCTGCCCGGGCGCCTTCGGTGAAATTTCTCCTATAAATAGCCCGATTTTTCCTCAACTCAAACACACCTCTTCCAACCCTAAATCAGTTCAAAACACCTTCTTTCTTCCTCCATTTTCGAGCTCCAAAGGTCTTAGAGAGAGAGAAACTTCAAATCTTCATATCTTCTTCATTTTAGCTCCAAATTGTAAGTTCTTTATATGTATTTTCATCTTCTCAACGAGTAGAATCTGAATCTGCACTTTGTTTGTTCAATCTGTTCTTCGAAAATTTCCAGATTATTTTTCAAGTATTTCGCATTTACTTCCAAAAATTAAATAAAATAGTTATTGTTGTTGAATTCATTCCAATTAATTATATAGTTGTTTACTAGCCTCAAGGTAGTTATTTATCTGAATAAATTAATTTTTCACGAAGCATAAGTAATTTTTAATTAATTTTGGTAATTATTTGAGATTAGTTCATAATTTAGAATAAATACTAGAAAAATAGAAAAAAATTAGTTCGGCCTTAATTTCAGTTTGATTCATAGTAATATCACTCCCAGTAGCTAGAATAAAATTTATAACGAAGTTAGCATATTTTTAGTTGCTTTTTGCATTTTCTAGTTAAAATTGGGAAAATTATCAATTAGTTGTCAAAAATTGGATTTTAGGTTCAAAAATTGGTGAAAAATTCCAGAAAGTTATATTTTAGTTCCTACAAGTTTATTGTTCCAGAATATAATTTTTGTTTAATTTTTGCTATCATACATGTTTAATTCCTTGTTAATGTTGAATTTAATCATTATTTTGTTAATTGCAAAAATGGTGATGAGTAGCTAAATTTGTTAGGGCATGAATTGAGAAAAGGAATATGGATTGACTTGTTGACCTAAAATTAGGGGTTAAAATTAATAAATTGGACTAGTTGTTTGAAATGATGAAATAGTAATTAATAATAGTTAGCCATATTCATTAATTAAATTCTTGGAAAATTAATTCTAACTTGTCTATGAGATTAGAAATTAATTTAAGCCAACCATATTTGAGCACATTAATAAGGCCTAGAAATAGGATAATTTAATGAAAAGGATTTACATCTTGTCTATGAGAAATAAATTCAATTGCTAAAATAAAGAGTTTAACTAGTTAATGAATTTGGCTATTTTTATTAATTAAAATATTGGAAAATTATTTCTACCTTGTCTATGGGTTTAGAAAATAATTTAAGCCAACCATTTTAAACACATTAATGACACCTAGAAATAGGATAAATTAATGAAGATAGTTTCTATTCTTGTCTATGAGGAAAGAAATTATTAGTCCAATTTTAGTTTTAATTTCCCTAATTAAGAGGTCCAAGAACATATCCATTTCTAATTACTCAATTCATTGCCCTTATTTGCATCCTTGAATATTCAATATTTATACATTAATCTTTAAATTGCACCTTGCTCCTAGTTATAATTTAGCGTAATATAGAACAAAATCACTTTCCTATATTGAAAAAGCTTCCAACAATTAGCGATAGCCCGTGACTAAAATTAAATTAAGAAACTTCTCCGCCATTCCTCAAGAGACACGACACTCGGGGAAAAACCGAAAGGTTAGACTCCGTTTTACTACAACGCCGCGAAGGCGGTTATCAAATGGCGCCGTTGCCGGGGAATGGCACGATTATTTCTTGATTTAATTCTAGCATAGGTGAATTCTAGTTAGGGAGACTTTTTCGCCCTTGCGACAATTTGTATAAAGATTTCAGGATAAATGAATGCACACCCGCTCTAAAGGAGTGGAAGGTCTAATTGAACTTGATCCTGAACCTGAGCGAACTTTGTGGAAAAATCTTTCAATCCACAAGAACCCAAGCATGGCGGGAGAAAAGACGGTGTTGCAAAATCTTACGCCGAACTTCATCGAGGATGATAGTATCAGCGCACCGGCAATCGAGGCAGCCAATTTCGAAATCAAACCCGCCATTGTCAACATGATGTCCAATCATCAATTTGGCGGGTCCAAGCAAGATGACCCTAGGGCCCACATGTTGTGGTTCACCCGAGCATGCCAAACGTTCCGCTTTAACGGAGTGACCTCCGACGCCGCAAAGTTGACCCTATTTCCCTTCTCATTACGGGATAGGGCATCTTTGTGGCTGAATAGCTTTCCAACGGGTCACTTCACAACATGGGCGGCACTGCACCAAGCATTCATGCAAGAATACTTTCCTCCATCGGCAGTTGCTAAAATTAAAACAGCAATTCAAAATTTTAGACAATTCCCGATGGAGTCCTTAAGTGAAGCATGGGATCGTTTCAAGGATATGAGAAACAAATGTCCACTCACACTGATGGATTCTAGTAGCTTGATGTTCCATTTTTACAATGGACTTCAAGTTAGTAGCAAAAAAGAACTTGATTTCTCTTCTCAGGTGGGATCATTCCTTGACATGGCACCCAACACCAACGAAGCTCTGGTGGAGAAGGTCACTTCAAATGCAAGATACTGGTATGATGAAAGAACTCCAGCAGCAACAAAACCAGGCTATCTTGAAGTTGACCAACTCACGGCCCTAACAGCGAAGATTGAAGGATTGGTCGTGGAAGTGAAGAATTTGAAGAATGATAACAATCACACCAACCAAGTCAACAACATCGGTGCTGTCCCGAATCAACAATCATCCCGATACTTCGGGAACTCAAGCTCTGTCCCACAGTCATCTCAATTTAATACTTTTTCACCTGTTTCCCATTCAACTGAACTTGTACTCTCTTGTGAGATATGTTTTGGTCCACATTTGACCAATTCATGTCAATTAGTTGATGAATGTAATCTAAGCAACAACAGGGAGGTGAACCTGCTGGAGTATGGCCGAACAAAACAAGAAGGGCCATGGGCGAATCAAGGCAACCGGGGGGGTAACTCCAACTACCCTCCTCAGAATTTCCAAGGAAGGAATTACCAAGGTAACCAATGGCGGGGGGATTACAACAATGGTCCTCCTCGCGGCGGTTATCAAGGTAATCAAAACTACCCCAACAATAATCAAGGGAACAACTTCCAGAGTCGGAACCAGGGAGGTGCACCAGCCCAACAGAACAACCAAGCTTATGTGCCTCCACACCAACGACAAACGGAGGCTGCCCAGCCATCAGAGATAGGCTTGTTGGTAGCAGAACTGGCAAGGACACGGGAGGAAATAACAAGATACAAGGCCAGCACTGACAATCAGATCAAAAATCTGATGATGCAAATTAATCAGAACAATGTTCCTGGTCGTCAGCCAGGCAACTTGCCTAGCACCACGGAACCAAACCCCCGTGAACATGTGCAAGCCATCACTCTTCGAAGCGGGAGACAAACAACCGTGGCTGAGCAGAAAGACAAGGAAGAGGAAGGTACCCCGACCATGGAACCTGAGAAACAAACTGATGCTCCAACTGAGAAGAGCATGGAACCAACACGCCCTAACACAAGGGTCACTATCGTCAAACCTTCTCTCCCGTTTCCTTCACGGGTTAGAAATGATGACGATAGCAGGAAGTACAACAAATTCCTGGACCTACTCAAACAACTCCACGTCAACCTGCCGCTGATGGATGCCTTAGCGGAGATGCCCAAATATGCCAAGTTTTTCAAAGACTTGCTGACAAACAAAAGGCAGCTGCAGGAGCTCTCAGTCGTGGACTTGAACGCAGAATGCTCGGCCGTGGTTCTGAGGTCAATACCCGAAAAGCTAAAGGATCCAGGTAGTTTCACTATCCCTTGCTCTATAGACAATTTCAACTTCAATAATGCTCTAGCTGACTTAGGGGCAAGTATCAATCTGATGCCTTCCTCTATAGTCGAGAAGCTAGGACTTGGGGAAATGAAACCCACCAGGATGTGTCTTCAACTGGCTGATCGCTCAGTCAAATATCCGAAAGGAATTGTTGAAGACGTCTTGGTCAAGGTTGACAAGTTCATTTTCCCAGTCGACTTTGTAGTAATGGACATGGAAGAGGATAGGGAAACACCTCTTATTCTGGGAAGGCCCTTTCTGGCTACCGCCAGGGCCTTGATTGATGTCACTGATGGCTCATTAACTCTAAGAGTCGGAGATGATCTATGCACCTTCCGACTCTCAGATGTTATGAAACACCCCACAGATTCCTTTCAAGGATGTCATTTTCTTGATACCTTTGAGTCTATTGAAGGGTATCTGTTTGGGGAAGAAAATGGACATGTAACTGATGAAGCATGTCTGTTAAAAGAAGCCAACAGTGATGTGAGTGATGCATGTGAGAGTTGTGAGGATGCGCTGATTGATCAAGCTTCTAACGAAGTATTGATTGAGTTTGAGGGGGAGAAAAATGAACAAAACTTGAAAAACGACCACCCCCTCGAACTAAAGAAACTGCCCGACCACTTAGAATATGCATTCTTGGATGACGAAGGCAAATGCCCTGTCGTCATCGCCGCACACTTAAGTGAGGAACAAAGGGAGAAATTACTTGGAGTCCTTAAGACACACAAGCAAGCAATTGCTTGGAAACTTGAGGACATCAATGGAATAAGCCCCGCCTTTTGTACCCACACCATCAAGATTGAGGAAGGGTTTAAACCAGTTGTCCAACCACAACGACGTTTAAACCCAAACATGATGGAAGTAGTGCGTGCCGAGATTGTCAAACTGCTGGATGCGGGTATCATTTACCCCATCTCTGATAGCCAGTGGGTAAGCCCTATTCACGTTGTCCCCAAAAAGGGGGGAATGACCGTCATGAAAAATGAAAAGGGCGAACTTCTACCCAGTCGAACTGTTACCGGGTGGCGAATGGTAATCGATTACCGCAAACTGAACGAAGCCACCCGGAAAGACCATTTTCCCCTTCCCTTCATCGATCAATTGATAGAGAGGTTGGCAGGCCATAGTCACTACTGTTTCCTGGATGGCATGAGTGGATACTTCCAAATCCATGTCAACCCGGAAGACCAAGACAAAACTACGTTTACATGCCCTTTTGGGACCTTTGCTTTTCGTAGGATGTCTTTTGGTCTCTGTAATGCCCCTGCCACCTTCATGAGGTGCATGATTGCCATTTTTGAAAAATACATTGGCCACTTCATGGAGGTATTCATGGATGACTTCTCTATTTTTGGGGAAACATTTGAAAAATGCCTTGAAAACCTGGAAAAAGTACTTATCCGCTGCAAGGAAACCCATTTAGCCCTAAGTTGGGAGAAATGTCACTTCCTTGTGAAAGAGGGTATAGTACTTGGACATAAAGTGTCAAGTAACGGGGTAGAGGTGGACCGTGCAAAAATTGAGACAATAGAGAAACTTCCTCCACCAACCACGGTAAAAGCCATCCGCAGCTTCTTAGGACACGCGGGCTTTTATCGTCGTTTTATAAAGGATTTCTCTAAAATCGCAAAACCTCTCACCCGGTTACTTGAAAAAGATGCGGTTTTTATATTCTCTGATGAATGTCACCATGCTTTCCAAGCACTTAAAACACAACTGATCAATGCACCGGTGCTTGTGGCCCCAGATTGGAGTTTACCCTTTGAACTCATGTGTGACGCTAGTGACTTAGTAGTGGGGGCCATTCTTGGTCAAAGGAAGGACAAGAACTTCCACCCAATCTACTACGCTAGCAAAACTCTATCAGGGCCACAACTCAACTACACTACCACCGAAAAAGAATTCCTTGCTATTGTTTGTGCTTTAGAGAAGTTTAGGACTTACATCATTCTTTCGAAGGTTATTATCTATACCGACCATTCGGCCATTAGATATCTCCTCCAAAAGCATGATGCTAAGCCTAGACTGTTACGCTGGGTTCTTTTGTTGCAGGAATTTGATATTGAAATCAGGGACCGAAAAGGGTCTGCTAATCAGGCAGCTGATCACCTCTCGAGGTTAGATGCCGAGTTAGCAGAAACTTTCGGAAAATGCGAAATTGAGGAGCTTTTTCCTGCTGAGAGATTGATGGCGATTTCCGCCAAGGAGCAAACACCGTGGTATGCCGACATTGCCAACTACCTTGTTGGTAAAGTCGAGCCTACCGAACTGACAAGGCACATGAAAAGGCGGTTCCTATCAGAAGCAAAGCACTATTTTTGGGATGATCCATATCTATTCCGAATTTGTGCTGACCAGGTGGTGAGAAGATGTGTTACTGAAGCTGAGGCAAGGGACATTCTAGAGCATTGTCACAGCGGTCCTACTGGGGGCCACTTTTCAGGGAATAGAACCGCAAGGCGGGTTTTGGACTGTGGGTACTTCTGGCCCACGATTTTTAAAGATGCTAATGAATTTGTTTCCTCTTGTGATAACTGTCAACGAATCGGGAACATTTCTGGGCGCAATGAGATGCCCCAACACTTTATCTTACCTTGTGAGGTATTTGATGTTTGGGGTATCGACTTTGTTGGACCTTTCCCAAGCTCAAGAGGAAACAAATACATTCTTGTGGCCATTGATTATGTTTCTAAATGGGTTGAAGCCCAGGCCTGTGTCACCAACGACTCTCGAGTAGTCGTGAATTTTCTGAAAAAGCTCTTTACCAGATTTGGTGTGCCTAGGGTTTTGATCAGCGATAGAGGGACTCATTTCCACAATGATCCAATGGCCAGAATTTTGGCCAAATATGGAGTCCAACATCGAAGCGGAGTAGCGTACCACCCCCAAACTCAGGGACAAGTGGAAAACGCTAACAGGGATTTGAAGTCCATTCTGGAGAAAACTGTTGCCCAGACCAGGAAAGACTGGTCAACTAAACTTGACGACGCTCTTTGGGCATTTCGGACTGCATACAAAACCCCGATCGGAACCACACCTTTTCGCCTTGTATACGGGAAGTCTTGCCACTTACCCGTCGAACTCGAGCATAAAGCACTTTGGGCGATGAAAAATGTCTGTTTTAAACTGGATGCTGCAGGGAAGGAACGATTTTACCAGCTGAACGAACTGGAAGAATGGAGAGCGCAAGCTTTTCATAATTCCAAACTTTACAAGGAACGAGCCAAACTCTACCATGATCAACACATCAAAGCTCGTGATTTCAATGCTGGAGATAAAGTGCTGTTGTTCAACTCCCGGTTGAAGCTTTTTCCAGGAAAGCTTAAATCAAGATGGTCCGGACCATTCAAGGTCATAAAAGCTTACCCCTACGGAACTGTTGAGATTGAAGATGCTAATGGGGCTCCCTTTAAAGTCAACGGCCACCAACTTAAACTCTACCATGGCGGCCCGATTGAAAAAAGCAAGGAGATTCTCTATCTCCAAAAATTTTGAACCGAAGGAGGACATTCGTCAAGCTAGTGACGTTAAAGAAGCGCTCATTGGGAGGCAACCCAACCAAAAAAAAAAAAAAAAAAAAAAAAAAAAAAAAAACTAACCCAAAAATATTTTACTTTGTTTATTTCTTGCAGATGTCTGGAGGAAGACGTGACGATCCCATTTTCGAGGAGCCACCACTAGGACGGGAAGACCCGCCACCTCAGCCTGATATCCCATTTGCTACTATTGCTGATCGCAGACGCTTCCAGGCATGGGGGCAATACCGCACACTCCTTCCTCCCATGATCCTGGACCCGACGATGCTAGAGGAATGGGGGTACTGGGATGACATTGATGCCCTGCTAGGAGACTCTTTATGGCGGAGGATTCTATTGGTTCAGGAGAGGGCCAGCCTTCCATTGACGATGGAGTTTCTGTGCTCCGTTCAGTTCACTCATTACGGACAGGCTGTGCAGGAGGGTGCTGTTATTGGGTCAGAGTCTCGGATGAGGTTTACTATTCTAGGCATGGAGCACTCCATCACTGTGGCTGAGCTCGGATGGAGGATGGGGCTCTATACCCCAGCATACACACAGACTGAGGAGTTCCGTGCTCTTCCGACCCGCTTACCCGAGGCATTTGACATTGATGAGTTCTGGCACAGACACTCCACAGACACCAGATCATTTCTCCGGATGCACCCCCATTCGAACAAATGGAGGGAGACTCACTGGTACATACTCTCGTTCGTACTTTCTTGTGGTTTTTTTGGACGACCTAACAACACAAACAGGTTGTCCAAAAAGGACATACTATTCTTTTGGAGTTTGATTCACCGCATCCCGGTGAATATGGCTGTCCTTATGGCTCGTTTCTTCCGGAGCCAGGGGAAGACTGTGCGGCGCACTATCCAGGCAGGGCCTTTCATCACTACCCTCGTTAGATCCTTCTACCCAGATCTAGACATTCCAGGGCTATCACATTTACAGGAGAGCATTCGCGTTCTTCGATCCTCATCCTTTACCAACATGAGGATCAAGAAGAAGCGGAATACTCAGGAGCTCCCAGGTATTGAGCAGCCGACCCAGCAGAGTAGTTCTTCTCGACCCTCAGGACATGAGGGATCTAGCGAGCCCTTTTCATACATGCCTAGCGCCACAGATTGGAGAGCGATGATGGATGGGATGAGGAGTCTACAGACCTCAGTTTCAGAGATGCGGGTTGCACAGGACAGAGGACTCCAGGAGATGCGAGAGGCGCATGAGACGGCCCTGGGAGAGTTCAGAGACTTTCGATTAGCTCAGGAGAGAGCCACCCAGGATATGCAGGCGGAGCTAGAGACCCAGAGGCTAGATATTGATGAGATGAGAGATTGGCTTAGGCCACACTATGGCCCCCAGGATGGCGCAGGCGATGTTTAGATTTGCTTCTTCCTTAACATTTTTATCATGTTTGTTTGTTCTTCAGGTTGGACATTGCGCTGCTCTTTTGACTTGAATGCTCTTACAAACTGACTATGGATGATGTAAGGATTTTAAAAAACCATTTTACTCCTGTTTCATTATTTCTCTTCACAAAATCTTTTCAAAACTCAAGTGTGAGGAAAGAACCAAAAAAAAAAAATGTGCCTTTATTTCCCAATTTTGTGCCTCAAAAGAAGACCTCGAGGGCGAGGTCCAGCTCAAGTGTGAGGAGGTTGCGTTTTACACTCAAAAGTCAAAACCTTGTTTTAGAACAATCTTTTTACTATTTTTGATATGAAACATTAATTTCTCAATTTGTTATCAATTCACAAAATAGTTTAGAAAATCACCCTTATTATAAGAATTTACTATTATTATTATTTTTGAAAACTTAAAATTGTTATGGGTTTTTGGTTGCGAATGTAAAGGTCTGAATTTGTTTTAATTGGACATTCATTTTTTTTCATAAAAAAAAAAATGTTACTATTAATAAACCTCTTCAAAACTCATTGTTATAGGACAATTCCATCTCCGAAAAGGGGCTCTGTTTCATTCGTTAATCACAGTCTGTGAGAATGAAATATGCATTTACCATGGGATAACACCGCCAACAAGAGTGAAAAAGAGCAAAAAAAAAAAAAAAAAAAAAAATGGTGAACAAGATGAATGTCCAAATTAGAATAATGAAAACCTTGGGATAAGGAATTGATCGGTGGTTTAACATAATCAATAGTTTTCTTCAGTAATAATAATAGTAAATTCATATATCTTGGGTGATTTTTCTAAAATAAAAAAAATTGAGAATAAAAGAGAGGTTTTTGTTTCTACTTCTTTAATAGCAATTCGATTGTGATATAGTCAGGTTTTCCCTTTTTGAGTGTGTTTCCAACTAATTCGTCGCTTGAGGACAAGCAACGCTTAAGTGTGAGGAGATTGATAAGTCCATTTTTGTACTTATTTTTCTTATCAAATTTAAGCGATTTTTGATTGAAAATAGAAAGAAAAGGCATGTTTTAGATATTTTGGTTCAAATTTTATGAAATCAGGTGAAAACCACATTCATCGTATGTTTGTCGGAATTTCGGGTCAATTGAGCACAAAATGAGCCAATTCGAGCAACAAATGATATCATACCGAAAGAAGGAGACATTATTTCAAGGTGGTCCAGAAGACAATATTGAAGAGCACAAAATAAGGAACAAGCCGGACAAATAATCTCAAAGGCGGCCGTGCAGGCGGCCACAATGAAGGCCTTCGCGGCCGCCTACGGTATTTTTGGAAAGTCAAACCTTGACTTTGACCGGATTCGGAAAAGACCGTAGGCCGCCGACACTGGACGGAAGGCGGCCGCCTACGGTGACCGCCTGCGGCAGAAGACGACGAAGCAACCACCGGCCGGTGGGATTTGACGGCAGGCGGCCAGACAGGAACGGCAGGCGGCCGCCTGCTGGACCGCCTGCGGCGGCCGGGATCCGCCGGGATCCGCCGCGATCCGATTTGACCGTGAAACGACGGCAGGCGGCCAATTTTGGTGGAAGGCGGCCGCCCTCTGTGGCCGCCTACGGCTGACGGAGACCAGCCCACGCGAAGTTGCCGGCGATTCGACGGCAGGCGGCCAGTTGCTGCCGGAAGGCGGCCGCCTGCCCGGGCGCCTTCGGTGAAATTTCTCCTATAAATAGCCCGATTTTTCCTCAACTCAAACACACCTCTTCCAACCCTAAATCAGTTCAAAACACCTTCTTTCTTCCTCCATTTTCGAGCTCCAAAGGTCTTAGAGAGAGAGAAACTTCAAATCTTCATATCTTCTTCATTTTAGCTCCAAATTGTAAGTTCTTTATATGTATTTTCATCTTCTCAACGAGTAGAATCTGAATCTGCACTTTGTTTGTTCAATCTGTTCTTCGAAAATTTCCAGATTATTTTTCAAGTATTTCGCATTTACTTCCAAAAATTAAATAAAATAGTTATTGTTGTTGAATTCATTCCAATTAATTATATAGTTGTTTACTAGCCTCAAGGTAGTTATTTATCTGAATAAATTAATTTTTCACGAAGCATAAGTAATTTTTAATTAATTTTGGTAATTATTTGAGATTAGTTCATAATTTAGAATAAATACTAGAAAAATAGAAAAAAATTAGTTCGGCCTTAATTTCAGTTTGATTCATAGTAATATCACTCCCAGTAGCTAGAATAAAATTTATAACGAAGTTAGCATATTTTTAGTTGCTTTTTGCATTTTCTAGTTAAAATTGGGAAAATTATCAATTAGTTGTCAAAAATTGGATTTTAGGTTCAAAAATTGGTGAAAAATTCCAGAAAGTTATATTTTAGTTCCTACAAGTTTATTGTTCCAGAATATAATTTTTGTTTAATTTTTGCTATCATACATGTTTAATTCCTTGTTAATGTTGAATTTAATCATTATTTTGTTAATTGCAAAAATGGTGATGAGTAGCTAAATTTGTTAGGGCATGAATTGAGAAAAGGAATATGGATTGACTTGTTGACCTAAAATTAGGGGTTAAAATTAATAAATTGGACTAGTTGTTTGAAATGATGAAATAGTAATTAATAATAGTTAGCCATATTCATTAATTAAATTCTTGGAAAATTAATTCTAACTTGTCTATGAGATTAGAAATTAATTTAAGCCAACCATATTTGAGCACATTAATAAGGCCTAGAAATAGGATAATTTAATGAAAAGGATTTACATCTTGTCTATGAGAAATAAATTCAATTGCTAAAATAAAGAGTTTAACTAGTTAATGAATTTGGCTATTTTTATTAATTAAAATATTGGAAAATTATTTCTACCTTGTCTATGGGTTTAGAAAATAATTTAAGCCAACCATTTTAAACACATTAATGACACCTAGAAATAGGATAAATTAATGAAGATAGTTTCTATTCTTGTCTATGAGGAAAGAAATTATTAGTCCAATTTTAGTTTTAATTTCCCTAATTAAGAGGTCCAAGAACATATCCATTTCTAATTACTCAATTCATTGCCCTTATTTGCATCCTTGAATATTCAATATTTATACATTAATCTTTAAATTGCACCTTGCTCCTAGTTATAATTTAGCGTAATATAGAACAAAATCACTTTCCTATATTGAAAAAGCTTCCAACAATTAGCGATAGCCCGTGACTAAAATTAAATTAAGAAACTTCTCCGCCATTCCTCAAGAGACACGACACTCGGGGAAAAACCGAAAGGTTAGACTCCGTTTTACTACAACGCCGCGAAGGCGGTTATCAAATGGCGCCGTTGCCGGGGAATGGCACGATTATTTCTTGATTTAATTCTAGCATAGGTGAATTCTAGTTAGGGAGACTTTTTCGCCCTTGCGACAATTTGTATAAAGATTTCAGGATAAATGAATGCACACCCGCTCTAAAGGAGTGGAAGGTCTAATTGAACTTGATCCTGAACCTGAGCGAACTTTGTGGAAAAATCTTTCAATCCACAAGAACCCAAGCATGGCGGGAGAAAAGACGGTGTTGCAAAATCTTACGCCGAACTTCATCGAGGATGATAGTATCAGCGCACCGGCAATCGAGGCAGCCAATCTCGAAATCAAACCCGCCATTGTCAACATGATGTCCAATCATCAATTTGGCGGGTCCAAGCAAGATGACCCTAGGGCCCACATGTTGTGGTTCACCCGAGCATGCCAAACGTTCCGCTTTAACGGAGTGACCTCCGACGCCGCAAAGTTGACCCTATTTCCCTTCTCATTACGGGATAGGGCATCTTTGTGGCTGAATAGCTTTCCAACGGGTCACTTCACAACATGGGCGGCACTGCACCAAGCATTCATGCAAGAATACTTTCCTCCATCGGCAGTTGCTAAAATTAAAACAGCAATTCAAAATTTTAGACAATTCCCGATGGAGTCCTTAAGTGAAGCATGGGATCGTTTCAAGGATATGAGAAACAAATGTCCACTCACACTGATGGATTCTAGTAGCTTGATGTTCCATTTTTACAATGGACTTCAAGTTAGTAGCAAAAAAGAACTTGATTTCTCTTCTCAGGTGGGATCATTCCTTGACATGGCACCCAACACCAACGAAGCTCTGGTGGAGAAGGTCACTTCAAATGCAAGATACTGGTATGATGAAAGAACTCCAGCAGCAACAAAACCAGGCTATCTTGAAGTTGACCAACTCACGGCCCTAACAGCGAAGATTGAAGGATTGGTCGTGGAAGTGAAGAATTTGAAGAATGATAACAATCACACCAACCAAGTCAACAACATCGGTGCTGTCCCGAATCAACAATCATCCCGATACTTCGGGAACTCAAGCTCTGTCCCACAGTCATCTCAATTTAATACTTTTTCACCTGTTTCCCATTCAACTGAACTTGTACTCTCTTGTGAGATATGTTTTGGTCCACATTTGACCAATTCATGTCAATTAGTTGATGAATGTAATCTAAGCAACAACAGGGAGGTGAACCTGCTGGAGTATGGCCGAACAAAACAAGAAGGGCCATGGGCGAATCAAGGCAACCGGGGGGGTAACTCCAACTACCCTCCTCAGAATTTCCAAGGAAGGAATTACCAAGGTAACCAATGGCGGGGGGATTACAACAATGGTCCTCCTCGCGGCGGTTATCAAGGTAATCAAAACTACCCCAACAATAATCAAGGGAACAACTTCCAGAGTCGGAACCAGGGAGGTGCACCAGCCCAACAGAACAACCAAGCTTATGTGCCTCCACACCAACGACAAACGGAGGCTGCCCAGCCATCAGAGATAGGCTTGTTGGTAGCAGAACTGGCAAGGACACGGGAGGAAATAACAAGATACAAGGCCAGCACTGACAATCAGATCAAAAATCTGATGATGCAAATTAATCAGAACAATGTTCCTGGTCGTCAGCCAGGCAACTTGCCTAGCACCACGGAACCAAACCCCCGTGAACATGTGCAAGCCATCACTCTTCGAAGCGGGAGACAAACAACCGTGGCTGAGCAGAAAGACAAGGAAGAGGAAGGTACCCCGACCATGGAACCTGAGAAACAAACTGATGCTCCAACTGAGAAGAGCATGGAACCAACACGCCCTAACACAAGGGTCACTATCGTCAAACCTTCTCTCCCGTTTCCTTCACGGGTTAGAAATGATGACGATAGCAGGAAGTACAACAAATTCCTGGACCTACTCAAACAACTCCACGTCAACCTGCCGCTGATGGATGCCTTAGCGGAGATGCCCAAATATGCCAAGTTTTTCAAAGACTTGCTGACAAACAAAAGGCAGCTGCAGGAGCTCTCAGTCGTGGACTTGAACGCAGAATGCTCGGCCGTGGTTCTGAGGTCAATACCCGAAAAGCTAAAGGATCCAGGTAGTTTCACTATCCCTTGCTCTATAGACAATTTCAACTTCAATAATGCTCTAGCTGACTTAGGGGCAAGTATCAATCTGATGCCTTCCTCTATAGTCGAGAAGCTAGGACTTGGGGAAATGAAACCCACCAGGATGTGTCTTCAACTGGCTGATCGCTCAGTCAAATATCCGAAAGGAATTGTTGAAGACGTCTTGGTCAAGGTTGACAAGTTCATTTTCCCAGTCGACTTTGTAGTAATGGACATGGAAGAGGATAGGGAAACACCTCTTATTCTGGGAAGGCCCTTTCTGGCTACCGCCAGGGCCTTGATTGATGTCACTGATGGCTCATTAACTCTAAGAGTCGGAGATGATCTATGCACCTTCCGACTCTCAGATGTTATGAAACACCCCACAGATTCCTTTCAAGGATGTCATTTTCTTGATACCTTTGAGTCTATTGAAGGGTATCTGTTTGGGGAAGAAAATGGACATGTAACTGATGAAGCATGTCTGTTAAAAGAAGCCAACAGTGATGTGAGTGATGCATGTGAGAGTTGTGAGGATGCGCTGATTGATCAAGCTTCTAACGAAGTATTGATTGAGTTTGAGGGGGAGAAAAATGAACAAAACTTGAAAAACGACCACCCCCTCGAACTAAAGAAACTGCCCGACCACTTAGAATATGCATTCTTGGATGACGAAGGCAAATGCCCTGTCGTCATCGCCGCACACTTAAGTGAGGAACAAAGGGAGAAATTACTTGGAGTCCTTAAGACACACAAGCAAGCAATTGCTTGGAAACTTGAGGACATCAATGGAATAAGCCCCGCCTTTTGTACCCACACCATCAAGATTGAGGAAGGGTTTAAACCAGTTGTCCAACCACAACGACGTTTAAACCCAAACATGATGGAAGTAGTGCGTGCCGAGATTGTCAAACTGCTGGATGCGGGTATCATTTACCCCATCTCTGATAGCCAGTGGGTAAGCCCTATTCACGTTGTCCCCAAAAAGGGGGGAATGACCGTCATGAAAAATGAAAAGGGCGAACTTCTACCCAGTCGAACTGTTACCCGGGTGGCGAATGGTAATCGATTACCGCAAACTGAACGAAGCCACCCGGAAAGACCATTTTCCCCTTCCCTTCATCGATCAATTGATAGAGAGGTTGGCAGGCCATAGTCACTACTGTTTCCTGGATGGCATGAGTGGATACTTCCAAATCCATGTCAACCCGGAAGACCAAGACAAAACTACGTTTACATGCCCTTTTGGGACCTTTGCTTTTCGTAGGATGTCTTTTGGTCTCTGTAATGCCCCTGCCACCTTCATGAGGTGCATGATTGCCATTTTTGAAAAATACATTGGCCACTTCATGGAGGTATTCATGGATGACTTCTCTATTTTTGGGGAAACATTTGAAAAATGCCTTGAAAACCTGGAAAAAGTACTTATCCGCTGCAAGGAAACCCATTTAGCCCTAAGTTGGGAGAAATGTCACTTCCTTGTGAAAGAGGGTATAGTACTTGGACATAAAGTGTCAAGTAACGGGGTAGAGGTGGACCGTGCAAAAATTGAGACAATAGAGAAACTTCCTCCACCAACCACGGTAAAAGCCATCCGCAGCTTCTTAGGACACGCGGGCTTTTATCGTCGTTTTATAAAGGATTTCTCTAAAATCGCAAAACCTCTCACCCGATTACTTGAAAAAGATGCGGTTTTTATATTCTCTGATGAATGTCACCATGCTTTCCAAGCACTTAAAACACAACTGATCAATGCACCGGTGCTTGTGGCCCCAGATTGGAGTTTACCCTTTGAACTCATGTGTGACGCTAGTGACTTAGTAGTGGGGGCCATTCTTGGTCAAAGGAAGGACAAGAACTTCCACCCAATCTACTACGCTAGCAAAACTCTATCAGGGCCACAACTCAACTACACTACCACCGAAAAAGAATTCCTTGCTATTGTTTGTGCTTTAGAGAAGTTTAGGACTTACATCATTCTTTCGAAGGTTATTATCTATACCGACCATTCGGCCATTAGATATCTCCTCCAAAAGCATGATGCTAAGCCTAGACTGTTACGCTGGGTTCTTTTGTTGCAGGAATTTGATATTGAAATCAGGGACCGAAAAGGGTCTGCTAATCAGGCAGCTGATCACCTCTCGAGGTTAGATGCCGAGTTAGCAGAAACTTTCGGAAAATGCGAAATTGAGGAGCTTTTTCCTGCTGAGAGATTGATGGCGATTTCCGCCAAGGAGCAAACACCGTGGTATGCCGACATTGCCAACTACCTTGTTGGTAAAGTCGAGCCTACCGAACTGACAAGGCACATGAAAAGGCGGTTCCTATCAGAAGCAAAGCACTATTTTTGGGATGATCCATATCTATTCCGAATTTGTGCTGACCAGGTGGTGAGAAGATGTGTTACTGAAGCTGAGGCAAGGGACATTCTAGAGCATTGTCACAGCGGTCCTACTGGGGGCCACTTTTCAGGGAATAGAACCGCAAGGCGGGTTTTGGACTGTGGGTACTTCTGGCCCACGATTTTTAAAGATGCTAATGAATTTGTTTCCTCTTGTGATAACTGTCAACGAATCGGGAACATTTCTGGGCGCAATGAGATGCCCCAACACTTTATCTTACCTTGTGAGGTATTTGATGTTTGGGGTATCGACTTTGTTGGACCTTTCCCAAGCTCAAGAGGAAACAAATACATTCTTGTGGCCATTGATTATGTTTCTAAATGGGTTGAAGCCCAGGCCTGTGTCACCAACGACTCTCGAGTAGTCGTGAATTTTCTGAAAAAGCTCTTTACCAGATTTGGTGTGCCTAGGGTTTTGATCAGCGATAGAGGGACTCATTTCCACAATGATCCAATGGCCAGAATTTTGGCCAAATATGGAGTCCAACATCGAAGCGGAGTAGCGTACCACCCCCAAACTCAGGGACAAGTGGAAAACGCTAACAGGGATTTGAAGTCCATTCTGGAGAAAACTGTTGCCCAGACCAGGAAAGACTGGTCAACTAAACTTGACGACGCTCTTTGGGCATTTCGGACTGCATACAAAACCCCGATCGGAACCACACCTTTTCGCCTTGTATACGGGAAGTCTTGCCACTTACCCGTCGAACTCGAGCATAAAGCACTTTGGGCGATGAAAAATGTCTGTTTTAAACTGGATGCTGCAGGGAAGGAACGATTTTACCAGCTGAACGAACTGGAAGAATGGAGAGCGCAAGCTTTTCATAATTCCAAACTTTACAAGGAACGAGCCAAACTCTACCATGATCAACACATCAAAGCTCGTGATTTCAATGCTGGAGATAAAGTGCTGTTGTTCAACTCCCGGTTGAAGCTTTTTCCAGGAAAGCTTAAATCAAGATGGTCCGGACCATTCAAGGTCATAAAAGCTTACCCCTACGGAACTGTTGAGATTGAAGATGCTAATGGGGCTCCCTTTAAAGTCAACGGCCACCAACTTAAACTCTACCATGGCGGCCCGATTGAAAAAAGCAAGGAGATTCTCTATCTCCAAAAATTTTGAACCGAAGGAGGACATTCGTCAAGCTAGTGACGTTAAAGAAGCGCTCATTGGGAGGCAACCCAACCAAAAAAAAAAAAAAAAAAAAAAAAAAAAAAAAAAAACTAACCCAAAAATATTTTACTTTGTTTATTTCTTGCAGATGTCTGGAGGAAGACGTGACGATCCCATTTTCGAGGAGCCACCACTAGGACGGGAAGACCCGCCACCTCAGCCTGATATCCCATTTGCTACTATTGCTGATCGCAGACGCTTCCAGGCATGGGGGCAATACCGCACACTCCTTCCTCCCATGATCCTGGACCCGACGATGCTAGAGGAATGGGGGTACTGGGATGACATTGATGCCCTGCTAGGAGACTCTTTATGGCGGAGGATTCTATTCGTTCAGGAGAGGGCCAGCCTTCCATTGACGATGGAGTTTCTGTGCTCCGTTCAGTTCACTCATTACGGACAGGCTGTGCAGGAGGGTGCTGTTATTGGGTCAGAGTCTCGGATGAGGTTTACTATTCTAGGCATGGAGCACTCCATCACTGTGGCTGAGCTCGGATGGAGGATGGGGCTCTATACCCCAGCATACACACAGACTGAGGAGTTCCGTGCTCTTCCGACCCGCTTACCCGAGGCATTTGACATTGATGAGTTCTGGCACAGACACTCCACAGACACCAGATCATTTCTCCGGATGCACCCCCATTCGAACAAATGGAGGGAGACTCACTGGTACATACTCTCGTTCGTACTTTCTTGTGGTTTTTTTGGACGACCTAACAACACAAACAGGTTGTCCAAAAAGGACATACTATTCTTTTGGAGTTTGATTCACCGCATCCCGGTGAATATGGCTGTCCTTATGGCTCGTTTCTTCCGGAGCCAGGGGAAGACTGTGCGGCGCACTATCCAGGCAGGGCCTTTCATCACTACCCTCGTTAGATCCTTCTACCCAGATCTAGACATTCCAGGGCTATCACATTTACAGGAGAGCATTCGCGTTCTTCGATCCTCATCCTTTACCAACATGAGGATCAAGAAGAAGCGGAATACTCAGGAGCTCCCAGGTATTGAGCAGCCGACCCAGCAGAGTAGTTCTTCTCGACCCTCAGGACATGAGGGATCTAGCGAGCCCTTTTCATACATGCCTAGCGCCACAGATTGGAGAGCGATGATGGATGGGATGAGGAGTCTACAGACCTCAGTTTCAGAGATGCGGGTTGCACAGGACAGAGGACTCCAGGAGATGCGAGAGGCGCATGAGACGGCCCTGGGAGAGTTCAGAGACTTTCGATTAGCTCAGGAGAGAGCCACCCAGGATATGCAGGCGGAGCTAGAGACCCAGAGGCTAGATATTGATGAGATGAGAGATTGGCTTAGGCCACACTATGGCCCCCAGGATGGCGCAGGCGATGTTTAGATTTGCTTCTTCCTTAACATTTTTATCATGTTTGTTTGTTCTTCAGGTTGGACATTGCGCTGCTCTTTTGACTTGAATGCTCTTACAAACTGACTATGGATGATGTAAGGATTTTAAAAAACCATTTTACTCCTGTTTCATTATTTCTCTTCACAAAATCTTTTCAAAACTCAAGTGTGAGGAAAGAACCAAAAAAAAAAAAATGTGCCTTTATTTCCCAATTTTGTGCCTCAAAAGAAGACCTCGAGGGCGAGGTCCAGCTCAAGTGTGAGGAGGTTGCGTTTTACACTCAAAAGTCAAAACCTTGTTTTAGAACAATCTTTTTACTATTTTTGATATGAAACATTAATTTCTCAATTTGTTATCAATTCACAAAATAGTTTAGAAAATCACCCTTATTATAAGAATTTACTATTATTATTATTTTTGAAAACTTAAAATTGTTATGGGTTTTTGGTTGCGAATGTAAAGGTCTGAATTTGTTTTAATTGGACATTCATTTTTTTTCATAAAAAAAAAATGTTACTATTAATAAACCTCTTCAAAACTCATTGTTATAGGACAATTCCATCTCCGAAAAGGGGCTCTGTTTCATTCGTTAATCACAGTCTGTGAGAATGAAATATGCATTTACCATGGGATAACACCGCCAACAAGAGTGAAAAAGAGCAAAAAAAAAAAAAAAAAAAAATGGTGAACAAGATGAATGTCCAAATTAGAATAATGAAAACCTTGGGATAAGGAATTGATCGGTGGTTTAACATAATCAATAGTTTTCTTCAGTAATAATAATAGTAAATTCATATATCTTGGGTGATTTTTCTAAAATAAAAAAAATTGAGAATAAAAGAGAGGTTTTTGTTTCTACTTCTTTAATAGCAATTCGATTGTGATATAGTCAGGTTTTCCCTTTTTGAGTGTGTTTCCAACTAATTCGTCGCTTGAGGACAAGCAACGCTTAAGTGTGAGGAGATTGATAAGTCCATTTTTGTACTTATTTTTCTTATCAAATTTAAGCGATTTTTGATTGAAAATAGAAAGAAAAGGCATGTTTTAGATATTTTGGTTCAAATTTTATGAAATCAGGTGAAAACCACATTCATCGTATGTTTGTCGGAATTTCGGGTCAATTGAGCACAAAATGAGCCAATTCGAGCAACAAATGATATCATACCGAAAGAAGGAGACATTATTTCAAGGTGGTCCAGAAGACAATATTGAAGAGCACAAAATAAGGAACAAGCCGGACAAATAATCTCAAAGGCGGCCGTGCAGGCGGCCACAATGAAGGCCTTCGCGGCCGCCTACGGTATTTTTGGAAAGTCAAACCTTGACTTTGACCGGATTCGGAAAAGACCGTAGGCCGCCGACACTGGACGGAAGGCGGCCGCCTACGGTGACCGCCTGCGGCAGAAGACGACGAAGCAACCACCGGCCGGTGGGATTTGACGGCAGGCGGCCAGACAGGAACGGCAGGCGGCCGCCTGCTGGACCGCCTGCGGCGGCCGGGATCCGCCGGGATCCGCCGCGATCCGATTTGACCGTGAAACGACGGCAGGCGGCCAATTTTGGTGGAAGGCGGCCGCCCTCTGTGGCCGCCTACGGCTGACGGAGACCAGCCCACGCGAAGTTGCCGGCGATTCGACGGCAGGCGGCCAGTTGCTGCCGGAAGGCGGCCGCCTGCCCGGGCGCCTTCGGTGAAATTTCTCCTATAAATAGCCCGATTTTTCCTCAACTCAAACACACCTCTTCCAACCCTAAATCAGTTCAAAACACCTTCTTTCTTCCTCCATTTTCGAGCTCCAAAGGTCTTAGAGAGAGAGAAACTTCAAATCTTCATATCTTCTTCATTTTAGCTCCAAATTGTAAGTTCTTTATATGTATTTTCATCTTCTCAACGAGTAGAATCTGAATCTGCACTTTGTTTGTTCAATCTGTTCTTCGAAAATTTCCAGATTATTTTTCAAGTATTTCGCATTTACTTCCAAAAATTAAATAAAATAGTTATTGTTGTTGAATTCATTCCAATTAATTATATAGTTGTTTACTAGCCTCAAGGTAGTTATTTATCTGAATAAATTAATTTTTCACGAAGCATAAGTAATTTTTAATTAATTTTGGTAATTATTTGAGATTAGTTCATAATTTAGAATAAATACTAGAAAAATAGAAAAAAATTAGTTCGGCCTTAATTTCAGTTTGATTCATAGTAATATCACTCCCAGTAGCTAGAATAAAATTTATAACGAAGTTAGCATATTTTTAGTTGCTTTTTGCATTTTCTAGTTAAAATTGGGAAAATTATCAATTAGTTGTCAAAAATTGGATTTTAGGTTCAAAAATTGGTGAAAAATTCCAGAAAGTTATATTTTAGTTCCTACAAGTTTATTGTTCCAGAATATAATTTTTGTTTAATTTTTGCTATCATACATGTTTAATTCCTTGTTAATGTTGAATTTAATCATTATTTTGTTAATTGCAAAAATGGTGATGAGTAGCTAAATTTGTTAGGGCATGAATTGAGAAAAGGAATATGGATTGACTTGTTGACCTAAAATTAGGGGTTAAAATTAATAAATTGGACTAGTTGTTTGAAATGATGAAATAGTAATTAATAATAGTTAGCCATATTCATTAATTAAATTCTTGGAAAATTAATTCTAACTTGTCTATGAGATTAGAAATTAATTTAAGCCAACCATATTTGAGCACATTAATAAGGCCTAGAAATAGGATAATTTAATGAAAAGGATTTACATCTTGTCTATGAGAAATAAATTCAATTGCTAAAATAAAGAGTTTAACTAGTTAATGAATTTGGCTATTTTTATTAATTAAAATATTGGAAAATTATTTCTACCTTGTCTATGGGTTTAGAAAATAATTTAAGCCAACCATTTTAAACACATTAATGACACCTAGAAATAGGATAAATTAATGAAGATAGTTTCTATTCTTGTCTATGAGGAAAGAAATTATTAGTCCAATTTTAGTTTTAATTTCCCTAATTAAGAGGTCCAAGAACATATCCATTTCTAATTACTCAATTCATTGCCCTTATTTGCATCCTTGAATATTCAATATTTATACATTAATCTTTAAATTGCACCTTGCTCCTAGTTATAATTTAGCGTAATATAGAACAAAATCACTTTCCTATATTGAAAAAGCTTCCAACAATTAGCGATAGCCCGTGACTAAAATTAAATTAAGAAACTTCTCCGCCATTCCTCAAGAGACACGACACTCGGGGAAAAACCGAAAGGTTAGACTCCGTTTTACTACAACGCCGCGAAGGCGGTTATCATTATCAAATCATAAAATACTTTAGATAATCACCCTTATTATAAGAATTTACTTTTATTATTATTTTTGAAAACTTAAAATTGTTATGGGTTTTTGGTTGCGAATGTAAAGGTCCGAATTTGTTTTAATTGGACATTCATTTTATTCATTAAAAAAAAAAACATGTTACTACTAATAAACCTCTTCAAAACTCATTGTTATAGGACAATTCCATCTCCAAAAAGGGGCTCTGTTTCATTCGTTAATCACAGTCTGTGAGAATGAAATATGCATTTACCATGGGATAACACCGCCAACAAGAGTGAAAAAGAGCAAAAAAAACAAAAAAAAAATGGTGAACAAGATGAATGTCCAAATTAAAATAATGAAAACCTTGGGATAAGGAATTGATTGGTGGTTTAACATAATAAATAGTTTTTCTTAAGTAATACTAATTTTAAACTCTTGTATTTTGGGTGATTTTTCTAAAATGTTTAAAAATTGAGAATAAAAGATGAGGTTTTTGTTTCTACTTCTTTAAAATAGCAATTAGATTGTAATACAGTTAGGCTTACCTTTTGAGTGTGTTTACAACTAATTCGTCGCTTGAGGACAAGCAACGCTTAAGTGTGAGGAGATTGATAAGTCCATTTTTGTACTTATTTTTCTTATCAAATTTAAGCGATTTTTGAATGAAAATAGAAAGAAAAGACACATTTTATATATTTTGGTTCAAGTTTCATGAAATCAGGTAAAAATCACATCCATAATATGTTTAGCGGGATTTCGGGTCAATTGAGCACAAAATGAGTCAATTTGAGTGACAAATGCATTTATACCGGAAGAAGCAAGCATTTTATCAAGGTGATTCAGAAGACAAAGTTGAAGAGCAAGAAAAGCCGCATCTGCCAGACAAAAGTGGCCGAAGGCGCCCAAATAAGCGCCCAAAATGGAGGCCTTCGTGGCCGCCTACGGGAAAATTCAGAAGTCAACCTCGCTTTGACTCGGGACCAGGAAAAGACCGAAGGCTGCCGACACTGGACAGAAGGCGGCCGCCTACGGTGGCCGCCTGCGGCACAAGGGGACGAAACCAACCACCGATCGGCCAGACAAGACGGCAGGCGGCCATACAGGACGGCAGGCGGCCGCCTGCTGGACCGCCTACGGCGGCCGGGGTCCGCCGGGATCCGATCTGCCAACGAAAAGATGGCAGGCGGCCATTTTTGACAGAAGGCGGCCGCCCTCTGTGGCCGCCTACGGCTGACGGGACCGCCACCGACGGTCTGCCGGCGACAGGACGGCAGGCGGCCAGAGGCTGCCGGAAGGCGGCCGCCTGCCCGGGCGCCTACAGGAATTTTTCGGCTATAAAATCCAGGCTTTTTCCTCAACTCAAATACACCAATTTCAAGCCCAAATAAGATCAAAAAGGGCATCTTCTTCCTCCTCAAAGCTCGGATTTCCACCATTGTTGCACCTTCAACTTCAATCTTTCATATCTTTCTCATTTTAGCTCCAAATTGTGAGTTCTTTATATGTATTTTCATCCTTTAAATGTGTAGAATCTGAATCTGTACTTTGTTTGTTCTATCTGTGCTTCAAAAATTCCCAGAAAATTATTACATTATTTCGCATTTTCTTCTTAATTTTGAATAAAATAGTTATTGTTGTTGAATTCGTTCCAATTAATTATATAGTTGTTTACTAGCCTCAAGGTAGTTATTTATCTGAAGAAATTAATTTTTCACGAAGCAGAGGTAATTTTTAATTAATTCCGGCATTTAGTTGTTATTATTGCATAAATTAAATTAAATACTCAAAAAGGTAAAAAAAAATTAGTTTCTGTCCTAACTCCAGTTTAATTCACATTAATATCACTCCCAGTAGTCAATATAAAATTTATAACGAATTTAGAATAATTTTAGTTGCTTTTTGCATTTTTTAGTTAAAATTGGGAAAATTATCAATTAGTTGTTAAAATTGGATTTTAGGTTCAAAAATTCGTGAAAAATTCCAGAAAGTTATACTTTAGTTTCTACAAGTTTATTGTTCCATAATATAATTTTTGCTATCATCCATGTTTAATTCCTTGTTAATGTTGAATATATTCATTATATTGTTAATTGTTAAAATGATCTTTATTAGCTAAATTTGTTTTGGGCATGAATTGACTAAAGGAATATGGATTGACTTGTTGACCAAAAAATAGGGATTAAAATTAATAATTTGGACTAGTTGTTTGAAATGATGAAATAGTAATTAATAATTGTTAGCCATATTCATTAATTAAATTCTTGGAAAATTATCTCTAACTTGTCTATGAGATTAGAAAATAATTTAAGCCAACCATATTCGAGCACATTAATAAGGCCTAGAAATAGGATAATTTAATGAAAGGGATTTGCATCTTGTCTATGAGAGATAAATTCAATTGCTTAAATAATGAGTTTAACTAGTTAATGAATTTGGCTATTTTTATTAATTAAAATATTGGAGAATTATTTCTACCTTGTCTATGAGGTTAGAATTTAATTCAAGCCAACCATTTTTAACACATTAATGACACCTAGAAATAGGATAAATTAATGAAAATAGTTTCTATTCTTGTCTATGAGGAAAGAAATTATTAGTCCAATTTTAGTTTTAATTTCCCTAATTACTAGGTCCAAGAATATATCCATTTCTAATTACTCGATTCATTGCCCTTATTTGCATCAATCCATTTAAGTTTAATATTATATTTTTTTCCTTTAGTTTATTTTTGAGCCATCATTAGTATTTGCACAATTTAATTTACTTTCTTTTCCAAAAAGTAGTTTAGAAAATCAATCAAAAGTTTTAATTTGGAAAGCTTCCAATAATTTGCGATAACCTGTGACTGGACTTAAAATCAAGAAGCTCCTC